GGTGGCTGGTCTCAGATGATCTTGGAGGTGAAGATGCTGGATGTGGAGGTCCTAGGCTGGTGTGGTTACATGTGGTCTGCGGTTGTGAGGCCGGTTGGATGTACTGCCAAATTCTCAGAAACGCCTTTGGAGACTGCTTATGGTAGAGAAATGAACATTAAATTCGGGCAACAGCTCTGGTGGACATTCCTGCAGTCAGCCTGCCAATTGCACGCTCCCTCAAAACTTGCGACTTCTGTGGCATTGTGCTGTGTGATAAAACCACATTTTAGAGTGGCCTTTTATTGTGGCCAGCCTAAGGCACACCTGAGCAATAATCATTCTGTCTAATCAGCATCTTGATATGCCACACCTGTGAGGTGAATGGATTATCTCGGCAAAGGAGAAATGCTCACTAACACAGATTTAGACAGATTTGTGAACAATATTTGAGAGAAATAGGCCTTTTGTGTACATAGAAAAAGTCTTAGATCTTTGAGTTTAGCTCATGAAAAATGGGGGCAAAAACAATAGTGTTGCATTTATAATTTTGTTCAGTGTAGATTCCAGAGACTTGCAGCCATTATTTTCTCTGTATTAATTAATAATATATAGGAATACACCCTGTGGCCACATTTACGATACAGTCAGATAATTCTGCAAACACGTTGAAACACCATACTACAGGAAAATAAACTCCAGTGTCAGCTGCTGTTGTGGTAATATCAACAGAAGCACATTTGTGTGTATCATTTCTGAAATTACACACCTATAGGTTATGGGTTATTTGATTAATTTGATGCATACAACTATATGTTATTTGATGCATGTGCCGGTTATAAGTGTTCTGTGTTTCAGTCACATGAATACAAGATGAAAAGAAAATGATTTAGTCTATATTTCTCTTCACAATAGCATATACACTCTCATTTATCAAACCTGTTGTAAATACTGCCACCAACGAGCAAAAAAAAAAGTTCCCTCTGAGTTGCATTCTTAATCCACTGCATCCAGAGAGGCAGACAGAGGCAGCGGTTTCTACTGAGATACAGACAAGCCTCCATCCCAGGAATCCTGATAATCATCTTTGACAAACACAGGTATTGGGCCACAATCTCACTGCCGCCTTGGGGAAACCAAACATAAATGGATATAAAAGGACTGGGTGAAAAAAAATATATAATTATATATTAGGGCTAGGTATCGAGATGCTCGATTTCGATTCTTGGTTCGATTCTCGTTTTTTTTTTGTTACATTCAGTGAATATAGTTTTAATAAAAGTGCTATTGATATTTAAAAAAAAATGAACCGTAAACATCAGTTTACAAATGGTGAATTAATAAAAAGAAATTAAGAGCCACATGCCTGTATTTTAAACCTATTATTTTTTTGAATAGGGTCCTTTTTTAAACAATAATAGGGCCCTATAAAACGTTCTTCTTAATTTTTCTGGTGATCAGATGAAGGCATAAAACATTAATTTAATTTATCCTAATCAAATGAAAATTAAACCCTTTTATTTTTTGGCAAACAATGTACTGCACAACAGAGGTTTACTGTTAAAATTAAAAAGAAAACAAATGTGATTACTCGATGTTGTTACATTGAGTCTTAAGACTGCTAAATATTAATATATTCTGACACAGTTTCTTCACGTTAAACTAAAGTCTTATTTTGACGGGTTGCCGTGAGGAACTTGCAGCTTCTGTGTATGTGATATGACGGTAGTTTTGTTAAATTAAACGGTAAAATGCTAATGAAGTGACTCTCAGAGCAGCTGGAAATGATATTTGTGTATTCATATCATCATATTGAGACAACAGAGGCTGAAAACACAGCGAGCATTGTCTGCGCTTTAGTAAGTGTGTAGTAAACAAAACAGTGCGTCTCACCATCTGCCATTCATTCATTCATTCATTCATTGTGGAAATCATGCCGCCTTTACGCGTGATGTCAAATGCTTCCACAGATTTATAGTATTACTATAGAATTTTACCTGAACATTGCAAATCACGCATATTGCTTTGTTCTTGGTTCTTGTCAACAGTATCTCCGCCATAAGCACTGAATGAATTACATGCTTTCCGTTGTAACATTGCGTAAGGTAAATAAGAGGGTGACATATATGGAAAAGACCAATGATAAGATTCACATTAATCAGATCTTGTTTTAAATGTTTGCTGAAATAAATACCGGAAAAGATCGATTTGCGGCTTTTGACGTCATTTAAAAAAAACGACCAGCCCTAATATAGGCCTATATGTATGTATGTATGTATGTGTATATATATATATATATATACATACATATATATATATATATATATATACAGTATATATATATATATATATTGTATGTACTACCATTCAAAAGTTTGAGGTCAGTACATTTTTTGCTTTTTTAAAGTAATCATTTTTATTCAGCAAGGAAACAAATTAATGGTTTCCACAAAATATAAAGCAGCACATCAGTTCCCATTCAGTCAGTCACGTTCAACGTTACATCAGTGACTGACGAATTGGGATCTCGCCCGAGAGCCCAATCACCTTCGAGTGTTAA